AAAATTTGGGTGGAACGTTGTGCTCAAATGCAGATTGCTTTCTGCAAATTTGCATTTACGACTTTATCTTGCCATTTTAATTTGCAAGGCGTTATTATTTACTTATTGTAACAACAGTAAAAGTTTAAAATTGGCGTTTTGTTTTTTGATTCGGAAATTAAAGATATTTTTCTAGTGAATCTCGATACAAATCACACCAAAATAGGTTTGTAGAAGTTCGCATGCAATTTCAAATTTAATGATATATGCATAGAAAGTTATTGAATTTTTCGATAGTGAGGTAAATTAAACCAAATAACAGATGATGAAAGTAAATATGCAATTAAAATATATCTGAAAATATGTACATCTTTAAAGTGTGCGATTTAAAAACTCATTTTCAGCAATTAAGTTTGATATCAAAAACCTGATATCTAATTTTAGATAATTTAGCAAACGCGTATATATAACATATACAGTGAAAGCTTTGGCAAACAGATATATCTCTTCACAGTGAAATGCTGTTAGTCGACAGTTTTTATCTTTTAAATAAATTATGTTACATTATTTTAAATGAACACCTCAATCGGGCAGAATTGTTGGTTTGTCGGTATCCACTGTTTAAAAACGTATAGAGCTATTTGTCCCAAAATCTGCTGATTTGCTGACAAATGAGTGCCTGATTTCTAAATTGACAGCACTTTTTAGGTTACTCTTGACTTGAACGAATTTTCTAAATATTTCTAGATATGTTTGTCATTTGAAAATAATATAATTTGTAAAGTTTAATCAATGCAAGTACTTAATAAAAATACGTATGCTTAACTTTAACTCACAACACTCACAACTAAGGTGCCAGTATAGAATTTTCGACTGCACCCAATATTGCAAATTTTATACTTGTATATAAAATGATTAAAATTAAAAGAACATGATTAAAATGTTCTTTATCACTTCTTAGGTTTATTTAAATTTAAGAAACATCAATAACAAAAATGGAAATTGCATATTCTCATTTAATTGCAACACTAATTCCACCAAATAATTCGGTCATACCCTCTGCATGCCTATACCATAAAAACAGTCTGAACTGCGAGCATAGGAACACGCCCACGAATCGAAATTATTATCAATGTTTCCAGTCAATGCATTCGAATTGAGCGATAACATGTGCCAGAATCGCTTATATGGCAGACGAAAGAAGACGATGTCTGACTTGTCAGTCGAGGAACTAAACGATTATTGAATTATTCATAAATGAAATAAGTTTATTCAGTTTCCAGAACCTGATAGTCAAACCAGGTGCGTTGCTACATTTACTTTACTTTACATTAACATACTGACGTTATTAAAAAAATTTAATTGAATCGAAGATATGATTTCGAATAGTATCGAAACTGAAGAGGAACGTCTTTATTAATCTAATTTGAATTAACAATATTTAAAACAATTATTTTAACACCCAATAAAGAAAAGGATAAAGCAAAGTATTTTTTTTTTCAGTGGGTTAAGAGAAATTGGCAAAATTAAACTACAATTCCCTATTCCACATTTTTTAACATAAATTCAGTTCATGGCGATGTATCCCAGTTGGATTATTTCCAGAAGTTTAACATTTCCGGCCTGAACTGTGTCTTGTTTATAACTTTAATTTTTTTCAGCACCATTCATGGTTTGCATGAAAGACACATTTATGATTGCATTGTTACGAGTTTCTTTATGCACGAAGTCTATTTCTCTACCTTTACGCTCCTTTACACATTTCCGTGGGTCAAGTACTGTTCTAAACATCGCGTATTCAAAGTATGATTTTCATGTTCTTAAATAAATACATTTTTTTATTTCCTTTTTGTTATTGTTGTTTTTTGAACTCCACAGTTTGACTAAAGTACAATGAATCTTTAAATTTTATTTCTACCTTTTCTACTTTGACTCCAGTTTTTCGATTTGATTGCCACTTCACCACTTATCCTTAGGGAGTTTTGCTTTTCCTCACTTCTCTTGTCAGATTTATGTGAGATTATATTTACAGGTTTTTTAAAATTTTGAATTTTATGTAGAATTATTTATTTAAAATTTGAATTTTTCAATTTTAGTTATGCTTCGCGCCGTTTATCGACATTTTGGTATCAATATTGAACCTCTTGAAGAGGTTTAAACACTCACATAATGACAGAGAGAAGCTTTAGGGTTATATTGAAAAATTTGCATCATTCAACCGATATTGATGAAATCAAAAATGCACTTCTGGAGCATGAACATACGGCTGTAAACGTTTGGAACATTAAACGTAGAGGGTCAGGTGAACCTCTCCCCATGTTTATTATTGAACTTGCACCAAACCTAAATAATAAGGATATTTATTTGGTTAAGAAACTCTTGTATACTACAGTTACATTTGAACCACCTCACCCGAAACGGGAAATCCCTCAATGTGCAAACTGCCAACAGTATGGGCACACAAAAGGATACTGTCACCGCAAACCTAAATGCGTCAAGTGCGCTGGAAATCATGCTTCTGTAAATTGCGAAAGGAAAAGCAGATCCAATGATGTCAAATGTGTTCTATGTGAAGGAAATCATCCGGCCAACTACAAAGGATGTCAAATATACAAAAACCTGCAAAAAAAAATGTATCCCCAACTAAGACCTAGGGCGCCGGAAGTACAAATTCAAGAAAATCCTCTTCCTTCGCTAAACAAAAAACACATCACGACTTCTCATTCACCTGAAACATTCGCACAAATAGTGAAGTCAAACACCAGTAGCGAAACAGAGGAGAAGCTTTCACCAATTCCAAATAATTTTGTGGAAGAATTCCGTGAGATGACATCACTGTTGAAGCAAATGATGCAACAAATCGTAGTAATGACAAATTTACTGATCAACTTGACGACTAAACAAAATTCTTGATTTCGTAGTAGTCATATGGAACGCTAATGGTCTATCAAAACATGCTATCGAAATAAAAGCATTTTTAAAATTAAACCAGGTCGACATAATGCTAGTATCAGAAACCCATTTCACGACGCGTAGTTTCTTTAAAATTCCGAACTACGAACTTTATCACACAATGCATCCCAGTGGTAAAGGAAATGGTGGCTCTGCGGTCCTCATAAGGAACTCGATAAAACATTATGAAGCAAAACCATATTGCAAGAATGAAATCCAGGCAACAAACATTGTAGTACAAACTAAAGAAGGCGACATGACTTTCTCATCACTCTACAGCCCACCGCGCCACAGTATCACGAAAGATATGTACATATCATTTTTTCAGCTGCTTGGACCTAGGTTCCTAGTAGGCGGAGATTTTAATGCTAAACACTTAAAATGGGGTTCCCGCCTAATATCTCCAAAAGGACGTCAACTCTTCGAAGCAATAATTGTACTCAACCTCCACACAATCTCAACAGGTGAACCCACATATTGGCCAACAGATAGAAGAAAAATACCTGACTTAATTGATTTTGCGGTATCAAAGGGGGTACGTATTGAAACAACTACCTGTAAGTCCAATTTCGACTTGTCATCTGACCACTCGCCAATAATAATCACTCTCAATGACTGCTGTGAAATTATGGAAAAATGTATTCTTCATAATAAAAACACTGACTGGAATAGTTACCGTCAACTAATTTCAATTGGTCTAAATACCGAAGTCAGGTTAAAAACTGAATCTGACGTAACTGAAGCAGTAGAGCATTTCAACTCTTGTGTCCAAATGTCTGCATGGGAATCAACTCCACCAATTTCTAAAAGTGTTAAGCTAGATTATCCATTTAACATTAGATACCTGATTAAAGAAAAGCGTAGGATGAGAAAACATTGGCAACAGTCGAGATTCCCTGCGGATAAAACTCGCTTAAACAAACTGTGTAAACTCGTTAAAGCCCTTCTTTTAAAGTATAACAATAATCGCACGTCGCTATACCTTCAAAACCTAAGTGCTTCATGTGATACAAAATATTCCCTTTGGAAAGCCATAAAAAAGAACAACAGACCGATTGTCTATCAACCACCTATACGCAAAATCGACAACTCATGGGCAAAAAGCGATATTGAAAAAGCAGAAACATTTGCGTTACATTTGGACCAGGTCTTTAAATCAAATGATAACCAAAATATGCCTGATGTCATGAATCAAAGGATTAATTTTCTACAAGAGCCTTATCAATTGGAACTTTCAATTAAAAGATATACTATTAATGAAGTTAGAGATGTAATAACAAAGTTAAAAGTAAAAAAAGCTCCAGGATACGATTTAATCACAGGCATGGCCTTGCAGCAGCTCCCACCAAAAGGATTTGTATTTCTCACTCATCTATTTAACGCTGTGATAATAAGGGGGTTTATTCCGCCACAGTGGAAGATAGCACAAATCTCCATGATACCGAAACCAGGGAAAAGCCCAGAAGACGTCAAATCATATCGGCCAATAAGTCTACTTCCGATCCTGTCAAAAGTTATGGAAATCCTGTTTCTAAAGCGCCTTACTCCGTTTATCCAACAAAACAGACTCATACCTGACCATCAATTCCGCTTTCGCCAAAAACATAGCACAATAGAACAAATTCATAGACTTGTCAGACATATCCATAGTGCGATAGATGGTAAAAAATATTGCACTGCGGCATTTATAGATATTTCACAAGCTTTTGATCGAGTATGGCATGAGGGCCTCCTGTTCAAACTAAAACTGTATCTACCTCTAAATTTTTTCATATTTATAAAATCATACCTCTCGGCTAGGCACTTTTTTATTAAGCATGGAAACGAAACTACAGTACTTCATGATATAGAAGCAGGAGTACCTCAAGGTAGCATAATGGGACCAATGCTTTATCTTTTATTTACTGCGGATCTTCCCCTTACCGATGAGAGTGTTATCGG